TAAGAGACCACACCTCCTTGCTACACATCTTGATTTTTTGAGGGGGAGGGGGATTCATCCAATTATTGAGGTAGTGCTCAGGTTATGTTCTAATTTCTTTAAAGTTCAGAGGTGTTTGGATCAAAGGTTTACTTTCAAGCCCATTACAACCTTTAATTTTGTTTCTCGTTTTTTTAATGTATTTCTTTCTATCGGCACCCAAAGCTGTGTGAGGCAGCACACCAGAGAGAGCGAAGGCATGTGCAGTTTACAGAATAAAGCAGTTGTGATGTAACCAGGAGATAACAGGGCAATGCGGAGGAGGGATTGAGAACGTGGGTAGCACACCAAAGCTATAAAAAGGTGGTTTTCTTTTAATGTTAGAGATTGTCTAGCAACTAAGTTTGCAGGGGCATCGAGGAAGACGTGACTCAGAAGTGGTTCTTAAGTAGAGATTTCAGTGTAGTGGGAACAGTATATCAATTCAGGAAGGAGCTTCGTACTATGCCAGGGTGATAAAGCCAGAAAAAAAGCATGAAAATGTTTGTGGGAAAAAGCCGATTAGTGGGTGTCCGTGGCAGAGATGTCAGCATGAGGGATGAAAAAGAGACCAAATCAGCTAAGCATCCTGTTAGGCAGCGCCTTGACCATGAGGACAAGAAGTTTGTATGTGATGCAGTGGAGAAGCAGGCAGTCAAGTAGAAAAAAGAGATGGGGTGATTTAGGATAGGCGAAGAAAGTGCGCGGGTTGGGGGAGGAGGATGTGAACAGGATGACAGGCAGACAGGAACTACAATCTTCTTAGTGACTGGGTATTAAATTGCCCAAAGAGAGGGTGACATGGGTTCAGGGAATGCCAGAAAAAAGGGAAATAATCTTCAAGAAATCATGAGTGGTGTGGAGAGGGCTGATAAAGAAAAGTTATTTATTAGTTCCCATAATAGAAGAACTAGAGGACACCAAATGAAATTAATGGGTAGCAGGTTTAAAACTAATAAAAGAAAGTTCTTCTTCACACAGCGTGTAGTCAACCTGTGGAACTCCTTGCCAGAGGAGGCTGTGAAGGCTAGGACTATAATAGAGTTTAAAGAGAAGCTAGATAATTTCATGGAGGTTAGGTCCATAAAAGGCTATTAGCCAGGGGATAAAATGGTGTCCCTGGCCTCTGTTTGTCAAAGGCTGGAGAGGGATGGCAGGAGACAAATCGCTTGATCATTGTCTTCGGTCAACCCCCTCTGGGGCACCTGGTGCTGGCCACTGTCAGCAGACAGGACACTGGGCTGGATGGACCTTTGGTCTGACCCAGGATGGCCGTTCTTCTGTTCTTATGTAGGTCTTGCTGCAGGGCGGGGCAGCAAACAAGCACAGTTGGCCCATGTGATTAGTAGTTCACAGGAAGGTAAACAAGCAGGTCTCCTTGTTCCGGCAGAGATCCAGGAAGTGCAGGTTCTTGGCCTGACGTGGCGGAGGGGGAGGGGACGGCCACCAGGAGTTAGGTGGCAGGAGGAACGCAGGCCCACCCCCTCCACTGTCCCAGCCCAGGGCCCTAGCAGCAGCAGAACAACCTGCTGTTGGGTCAGCTGGGATCCTCACCCCAACACGCTGACCGGTGCTCTGGGCCGGCCTGACTACTGCAGACTCTCCCTGGGCTTCTTCCGTTCCCCCTCCATGCACACCTGGGCTTCCGGCAGCTCCTCTGGGGGGCGGGGGTTGATGTTCCTCCTGGTCAACGTCCGTATGGGGTCCCAGCGGTCCAGGCCAGTCCTCAACCTCCTGCAAGTCCTCGGCAGCCTCCCAGCACAGGACAGGCAGCTGGGTCCTCTGGTGGCCAGGGTCTGACTGAGCTCCTGGCCTGGCTTCTTATAGTGCTAGCCTTCTG